GGTGGTGCTCATTGTTTGTTTGGCGACACTGAGCCAGAGGTGGACATTCCTCATTCCTACGGCAGGGATCAGTTTATCCCTCAAACAATAACTTTTTGGCTACCCACAAAGTGGTAGTCATTTTATAGACCCCGGAGGGATGATGGGCTTAGCCGATCCCCCGACCGGGATTTGACCTCTGTGATTGCGTGTGCGGCGCTCTCCCCACGGCAGCGCCGTGATACCGAGACAACACAAGGGTTGGTGGATCAAGGGAAACACCCAAACTTAATGAGCTGCAAAGTGGCGAGGAGATGTCAGTCCAGCAGGTGGGTTCATGCACTCGTCTCGCTGCACTGCCCAGTGGTACACCCACTCTGGGCGTTCTCCGGCCACTCGTTTCCTCACAAACGAACACAAACACTCATCAATGGCTATGTGACAATTACTCCATCAACCATGTCATACACTGATTGCCAAACCTGTTGAACTCATTAATAGAATTGGGCAAACATTCCAATGTAGCGGGACCAGGGCTGCCCTAGGAGGGGGTTGGGTAAAGTGTCAATTCACCCCGGGACTCCCACCGAGAGAGGGCACCATGGTTGGCCTGTGTTTGTATCGCTGATGAATAAAAAGTCTCTGCGTAACATTCCGCCCGGGCCTCCAGAAACCTCTGTTCGGTCTTGAGCAAGACCCTCCTGGAAAATGAGTCTTTTGTCTCTCGGCTTTCCGAAGTAAATGGAATTTGTTTAATTCAACAACAACAACATTATTAGAGACAACAACAATGAGAGGTCACGAGTGCGCCGTCCGCACAGATGTGGCGGGTGTGACAGACAGAGCGCACAGACACGGACTGAGATCGCTATCGCGACGTCTCTCCCGAGAGAGACGTGCGGAAGGCAGCTGCTCAAGGAGCAGATAACGGCGTGGCCAGGGGCCGGAGCGGCGAGGCATGGGCACTTTGAAGCAACAGCAACAGCAAGAGCAGCAGCAACAGCAGCAGCACCAGCAAGAGCAGCAACAGCAGCAGCAACAGCAACAGGAACAGCAGCATGAACAGCAGGCGCGGCAGAGCAGTAAATGTGACATTCACGCGTCTGTCTGTCTGTCTCCACGTCACCAAGAGACGGAGCGATAGCCACGAGGCGGCGGAATTCTTTTGGCTGACCACACGCTGCTGATGAGACTCTGAAAGTCAAATCCGATGCGGCTCCTGCTTACACAATTGCTGCTGGAAAACATTGTTGCAGACGGCCCAGAGGCAGACAGACTTAAATGTAGTTGCATTCCTGCAGTCACGAAAGCTTAAAATCAAGATTGTAGTTTATATTTTTGTATGGAGAAACATACCTTCGTCTGGTTGTCATGAAATGACAACAAATCACTGGATTGTTTAAAATTCATTGCTGTATTGGGCAGTGTTTTGCTCGAACTAGCGGTGAAAATTCCACATTCCCGTGGTGGGGGCAAGTCTACGGCACTCATTATATCCATCCCATGAGGATGAAGAGGCAAGTGGAAGACAGGACCAGTGCTGCCGCCAGGACACAAAGACCCAGGGGGACTTCGAGGAGTGGATGAGGGGTGCAAGACTCACAACGTTCATTCTGGGAGTGAAGCTCCTTGGGTGGCATCAGACGGTAAGGGCAGAGCAGACATTGAAGGTCAAATATGAACTGTGCCACTGCTGTGGGGTCTGGCAGAAGGAAGGAAGCGAGGTGTGGTGTCATGCCTGGCTCTGGTTGTAATGGCGCCTTTAAGCATCATGAGATCACAAACAAATGTACACACCACACGGAGTACTCTACTACATCGAGTTAGTTCCCTCCATATGCTCACGATCCTCAATATCCAAAATTGTAATCGTGTCCTTTATCCAAAACATCCATATTTGCCACATGTGAAATATTCACCGCAAGTTACTGGATTGCAATGCGTAGCCATCAATCCGGCAGCAGCAGCCTTCTGATCTCAGTCCGTGTCTGTGCGCTCTGTCTGTCACACCCGCCACATCTGTGCGGACGGCGCACTCGTGACCTCTCATTGTTGTTGTCTCTAACAATGTTATATTCTTGGTTCTTTCGGTAAAGTCACGTAGAAGGGAAACAAGAAAATAATAAAAATATAAAACAATAAAATTCTCACGACGTTTCGACTGAAACACAAGCAACCATCTTCAGGTGTGAAAAACCACAGCAAGAAAATTTTGAAAAAGTCGCTTTTTTAACGTTAGCACCACGGAGAGCGATTTGGCAGTTATTCATATGGACGAGTCCTTCTATGTTCGGAAAAGAGGAGGGGGGAGACGAAAATAATGGATGCGGTCTGAAAGCCACTGTAAGCGTGAACAATCAATCCTTCCAATGATTGCTAAGCCAGAATCCATCTTCTCGGTTGAAATTGTCTCTGTGTTTGTATATGTGGATAGCCTCAAAAATATTTTTTTTTATTTTATTGTTTCCCTTCTACGTGACTTTACCGAAAGAACTAAGAATATAAATGGACTCGTCCATCTGAATAACTGCCAAATCGCTATCCGTGGTGCTAACGTTAAAAAACCGCCACTTTTTTCAAATTTTCTTGCCGTGGTTTTTCACACCTGATGATGATTGCTTGTGTTGCAGTCGAAACGTCGTGATAATTTTATTGTTTTATATTTTTATTGTTTTATTGTTTCCCTTCTACGTGACTTTACCGAAATAACCAAGAATATGAATCCCTACATTCACGAAAGCTTTAAATCAAAATCTAATAATGTTGTTGTTGAATAAAACAAATGCCATTTCCATCGGAAAGCCGAGAGACAAAAGACTAATTTTCCTGGAGGGTCTTGCTCAGGACCGAACAGAGGTTTCTGGAGGCCCGGGCGGAATGTTACGCAGAGCCTTTTTCTTCATCAGCGATACAAACACAGGCCAACCATGGGGCCCTTTCTCGGTGGGAGTCCCGGGGTGAATTGACACTTTACCCCCTCCTGAGCTGAGAATTTCCTAACAGACATGGTTGGATTTGCAACTCACAAGGCTTTCACATAATATATCTATAATCATTTGAATATGTAACGAGCGACTATGAAGACGGATACAAGTGAATTTGCTCAGGTGAATATAATGTTCTTGGAGCACGGCTGATAAATTAACGCCATTACATCTTAAATTTCCCAATAATTTGGAAGTTTACGTTTTAGCCACGGGGATCAACCCTGTACACAAAGACAAAGTTTTCCTGTATAACAGACTGTTGGGGCAAGTGCTGTTAGCGTGCACATATTAGGGAGTGCACCTATGAGGGAGTGCACCTATGAGGGAGTGGGTGGCCAGCACCACGCCCTGCCGCCTTTGTCTCCCTAGTGGCGATGTTTTTACGCACTGTACCAGGTACTCATTTGAGGCGGAGTCGACCAAAGGAAGGTCCAGGACCGGTTCAGATAATTGTCACTATTGGCCGTGAGCGGGAATCGAACTCGGGTCGCCAGATTCGTATCGCAGCACGCTAACCACTACACTAGCACTCCTCACAGACACACACATAGTACAGACTTACATGCATACACACGTACATACATACACGCATACATACTTACGCAAGACACAGGGCCCCGGTATAAATCTTGACTTAAAGCTTTCGTGACTGCAGGAATTCATATTCTTTGGGGCTATTCGGTAAAGTCACGTAGATAGGTTCAAATTAATAAATAACTACGACGTTTCGATCGCAACACAAGCGGTCGTCATCAGTTGTGATTGAAACGTGGAGTTTTTTGTTTACTTTATTTTTATTAATTTGAACGCATCTATGTGACTTTACCGCAAGACCCAAAGAATCCCATGCACACTTGTTATTTGCGTGGTGGAAAGTGGTGTTAGCGAGCACCTATTTGGGCTAATACACAGCGTGAGTGGATAATGTGGCCGGCACCACGCCGGCCACATTTGTCTTCCAAGTACCGATTTTTGGCGGTGCACTGCACCAGGTACTTATTTAAGGTTGAGTTGACCTACGGGAAGCCCGTGATGTTATCTAGCCACCTGACGGAGAATGGAACCCAGGTAGGTGGCCCGGCGCGTAGCACATTACGCTCATCACTCCTCACACATACACAGACAAATAGCTCCTTGAGCAATTGGGACCCAATGGTGTCAGCGAGCACACACTACGGCAGGAACAACGTTGGAGGGGGATGGGTGACCAACACCAAACCCGGCCGCCTTTGTCTCTTTGCTGATGCTTACAGACCGCACCAGATACCCATTTGAGGCCGAGTCGACCTAAGGTCGAGTGTTCTTGACGAAGGTGCAAAATGTTTATGAAGATGCAGGAGGAACAAAGAGGAACGAGTAAGGAGGAACAAGATTTACATTCTAACGAACGTTGTGGTATTGCTACCAATGTCCAGTATTTAGATGCGTAAAAGAGGAGTGGCTTACCTCGTTATCCGAGTCGTGGTTGCGTGTCCGTGCCGGCCATCTCTGACGTGGCGTGCGCGTTTGCTCTGTCGGTTGTTTCTGATCGTAACTGCGGCCGTAATCCGTCACGCGAAGCGAATTCCCACCCGTAATGTGTGGATTGCAACTGCGTTTGTATGGAATCCGTCACCGGCGGCTGATTTCAATTACAAAAATAAGTCCTGGGCCTGTCATTTGGACATCTGAATGGCGCGATCATTTATCCGGATCGCGAGCAGAATGCGTTCTTGGGATGGACATTTGCATCAGTCTTTTTAAAGGATAAATCAAATGAACCTTATTCATTGGAACAGATTAATTTAATCCAATTAAATAATCGCTTTCTCGAATATACATTAATATTGAAAAAACTAAAGAATATTGATCAAATAAAGTCACCTATTCCAATAAGATTGCGAATTATCGCCTCTCCGTAGCGAATTCAGCCTGCACCACCAACCCCACGGCCCCCCTCGTCACCCCCGCGAGCCCCGCGCGAGTGGTAGAGTCCATCCCAGCTTAAAGTGGCTTCGTTAGGAGCGCAGCTCCAACAGAGACCCCCCCCCCCCCCCCGGGTCCTGCTGACCCCGTCCTGCTCACAGACATCACAGCCCTCACAACGTTCACACTTTCGTAATCGCCACCACAGCCACCACGCCATCGCAACATTGCACCATCACGTCCATCGCCAACGATTAGGACCATTACACCTCCACAATCATCACAGCCACCACAAGTTCACAACACCGCAACACCCATCAACCATCACCGCCACCACACCATCGCACGCATCAACACAAACATGTCCACGGGCTCCAGTAGCGACCCGGACGAGAGGCAGGACGTGGAGGCGACGGAGGAGGTTGGCACGGAGCCTCCTCCGGGCAGCGCCGACGTGGACGCCTCGGTGTCATACGCGGAGGACGCCTCGGTGTCATACACGGAGGACGCCTCGGTGTCATGCGCTGAGGACGAGTGTCCTCTCGGTGGCGTCGGAGGTGGCGCGCAGAGGAGAGGCGGCCGTGCGAATGGCGAGAGGGGCGCTTGCGCCGGCTCCTCGAGGCGGAGGCCCCAGCGGGGAGCGGCGAACGCGCGAGAGCGAGCCCGCATGCGGGTGCTGAGCAGCGCCTTCTCGCGCCTCAAGCACACGCTGCCCTGGGTGCCTCCCGACACGAAGCTCTCCAAGCTCGACACGCTGCGCCTCGCCTCCAGCTACATCGCGCACCTGCGCAGGCTCCTGGACGCGGACGCCAGGGACGGCGGCGGCGCGGAGTCTCCGAGCCACCCCGCGAGCCTGGTGAGCAGCACGGGGCTCACCACTCTCGTCCTCACCACCACGCGACCCTTCACTGTCAGCCTCCTCACCCCACTCCTGCTCCCCACAGCGTCAATACCTGCCACTCCTACTCCTCATTGTAATCCCACTCCTACTCCTCATTGTAATCCCACTCCTACTCCTCATAGTAATCCCACTCCTACTCCTCGTAGCAATCCCACTCCTACTCCTCATTGTAATCCCACTCCTACTCGTAGTAATCCCACTCCTACTCCTCGTAGTAATTCCACTCCTACTCCTCGTAGTAATCCCACTCCTAATTGTAATCCCACTCCTACTCCTCATTGTAATCCCACTCCTACTCCTCATAGTAACCCCACTCCTACTCCTCATTGCAATCCCATTCCTATTCCTCGTAGTGATCCCACTCAAACTCCTCATTGTAATCCCACTGCTACTCCTCATTGTAATCCCACTCCTACTCCTCCTAGTAATCCCATTCCTAATCTTTATTGTAATCCCACTCCTACTCCTCATTGTAATCCCACTCCTACTCATAATTGTAATCCTACTCCTACTCCTCGTAGTAATCCCACTCCTACTCCTCATTGTAATCCCATTCCTACTCCTCGTAGTAATCCCACTCCTACTCCTCATTGTAATCCCACTCCTACTCATCATTGTAATCCTACTCCTACTCCTCATTGTAATCCCATTCTTACTCCTCCTAGTAATCCCATTCCTACGCATTGTAATCCCATTCCTACTCCTCGTAGTAATCCCACTCAAACTCCTCATAGTAATCCCACTCCTAATCCTCAGAGTAATTCCAATTCTACTCCTCGTAGTAATCCCACTCCTACTACTCATAGTAATCCCGCTCCTACTCCTCGTAGTAATTCCACTCCTACTCCTCATTGTAATCCCATTCCTACTCTTCGTAGTAATCCCACTCATACTCCTCATTGTAATCCCACTCCTACTCGTAGTAATCCCATTCCTACTCATTGTAATCACATTCCTACTCCTCGTAGTAATCTCACTCATACTCCGCATTGTAATCCCACTCCTACTCATTGTAATCCCACTCCTACTCATTGTAATCCAACTCCTACTCCTCATAGTAATCCCACTCCTACTCCTCGTAGTAATCCCACTCCTACTCCTCATAGTAATCCCAATCCTACTCCTCATTGTAATCCCACTTCTACTCCTCGTAGTAATCCCACTCCTACTCCTCGTAGTAATCCCACTCATACTCCTCATTGTAATCCCACTCCTACTCGTAGTAATCCCACTCCTACTCATTGCAATCCCATTCCTATTCCTCGAAGTAATCCCACTCAAACTCCTCATAGTAATCCCACTCCTAATCCTCAGAGTAATTCCAATTCTACTCCTCGTAGTAATCCCACTCCTACTACTCATAGTAATCCCGCTCCTACTCCTCGTAGTAATCCCACTCCTACTCCTCATTGTAATCCCATTCCTACTCTTCGTAATAATCCCACTCATACTCATTGTAATCCCACTCCTACTCGTAGTAATCCCATTCCTACTCATTGTAATCCCATTCCTACTCCTCGTAGTAATCCCACTCATACTCCTCATTGTAATCCCACTCCTACTCATTGTAATCCCACTCCTACTCATTGTAATCCAACTCCTACTCCTCATAGTAATCCCACTCCTACTCCTTGTAGTAATCCCACTCCTACTCCTCGTAGTAATCCCACTTCTACTCCTCATAGTAATCCCAATCCTACTCCTCATTGTAGTCCCACTTCTACTCCTCGTAGTAATCCCACTTCTTCTCCTCATAGTAATCCCACTCCTACTCCTCATTGTAATACCACTTCTACTCATCGTAGTAATCCCACTCCTACTCCTCATTGTAATTCCAATCCTACTCCTCGTAGTAATCCCACTCCCACTACTAATAGTTATCCCACTCCTACTCCTAATTGTAATCCCACTCCTATCCCTCATAGTAATCCCACTCCTACTCCTCATAGTAATCCCACTCCTACTCCTCATAGTAATCCCACTCCTACTCCTCATTGCAATCCCATTCCTATTCCTCGTAGTGATCCCACTCAAACTCCTCATTGTAATCCCACTGCTACTCCTCATTGTAATCCCACTCCTACTCCTCCTAGTAATCCCATTCCTAATCTTTATTGTAATCCCACTCCTACTCCTCATTGTAATACCACTCCTACTCCTCATTGTAATCCCACTCCTACTCATCATTGTAATCCTACTCCTACTCCTCATTGTAATCCCATTCTTACTCCTCCTAGTAATCCCATTCCTACGCATTGTAATCCCATTCCTACTCCTCGTAGAAATCCCACTCCTACTCCTCATTGCAATCTCATTCCTATTCCTCGTAGTAATACCACTCAACCCCTCATAGTAATCCCACTCCTAATCCTCAGAGTAATTCCAATTTTACTCCTCGTAGTAATCCCACTCCTACTACTCATAGTAATCCCGCTCCTACTCCTCATTGTAATCCCATTCCTACTCCTCGTAGAAATCCCACTCATACTCCTCATTGTAATCCCACTCCTACTCGTAGTAATCCCACTCATACTCATTGTAATCCCATTCCTACTCCTCGTAGTAATCCCACTCATACTCCTCATTGTAATCCCACTCCTACTCATTGTAATCTCACTCCTACTCATTGTAATCCAACTCCTACTCCTCATAGTAATCCCACTCCTACTCCTCGTAGTAATCCCACTCCTAATTGTAACCCCACTCCTACTCCTCATTGTAATCCCACTCCTACTCCTCAGAGTAATCCCAATCCTACTCCTCGTAGTAATCCCACTCCCACTACTCATAGTAATCCCACTCCTACTACTAATTGTAATCCCACTCCTATCCCTCATAGTAATCCCACTCCTACTCCTCATAGTAATCCCACTCCTACTCCTCGTAGTAATCCCACTCCTACTCCTCGTAGTAATCCCACTCCTACTCCTCGTAGTAATCCCACTCCTACTCCTCGTAGCAATCCCACTCCTACTCCTAATTGTAATCCCACTCCTATCCCTCATAGTAATCCCACTCCTACTCCTCATAGTAATCCCACTCCTACTCCTCGTAGTAATCCCACTCCTACTCCTCATAGTTATCCCACTCCTCATAGTAATCCCACTCCTATCCCTCGTAGTAATCCCACTCCTACTCCTCGTAGTAATCCCACTCCTACTCCTCTTCACGCTCCTCCGTCAGCAGAGTGACGGGCACGCAAGGATCAGAGACACGACAGAGAGACAGGGACACGGAAGAGAGAGACAGAGACACGACAGAGATACAGAGACACGGTAGAGAGAGACAGAGACACGGCAGATAGAGACAGAGACACGACAGAGAGACAGAGACACGGCAGAGAGAGAGAGACGGAGACACGGCAGAGAGGGAGAGAGACACGACAAAGAGACAGAGACACAGCAGAGAGAGAGAGACAGAGACACGGCAGAGAGAGACGGAGACACGGCAGAGAGGGACAGAGACACGACAGAGAGACAGAGACACGGCAGAGAGAGAGACAGAGACACGGCAGAGAGAGACAGAGACACCGCAGAGAGACAGAGACACGGCAGAGAGAGACAGAGAAACAGCAGAGAGACAGAGACACGGCAGAGAGAGACAGAGACACCGCAGAGAGACAGAGACACGGCAGATAGAGACAGAGACACAACAGAGAGACAGAGACACGGCAGAGAGAGACAGAGAAACAGCAGAGAGACAGAGACACGGCAGAGAGAGACAGAGAAACAGCAGAGAGACGGAGACGGAGACACGGCAGAGAGAGAGAGACAGAGACACGGCAGAGAGACAGAGACACAGCAGAGATACGGAGACAGAGACACGGCAGAGAGAGACAGATACACGGCAGAGAGACAGAGACACGGCAGAGAGACAGAGACACGGCAGAGAGACAGAGACACAGCAGAGAGACGGAGACAGAGACACGGCAGAGAGAGACAGAGGCACGGCAGAGAGAGAGACAGAGACAGAGACACGGCAGAGAGACAGAGACACGGCAGAGAGAGATAGAGACACAGCAGTGAGACAGAGACAGAGACACGGCAGAGAGAGACAGAGGCATGGCAGAGAGAGACAGAGACACGACAGAGAGAGACAGAGACACGGCAGAGAGACAGAGATACGGCAGAGAGACAGAGACAAGGCAGAGAGAGACAGAGACACAGCAGAGAGACGGAGACGCAGACACGGCAGAGAGAGAGACAGATACACGGCAGAGAGACAGTGACAGAGACACAGCAGAGAGACGGAGACAGAGACACAGCAGAGAGACAGAGACACGGCAGAGAGAGACAGAGACACGGCAGAGAGACGGAGACACGGCAGAGATAGACAGAGACACGGCAGAGAGAGACAGAGACACGGCAGAGAGAGACAGAGACACGGCAGAGAGACGGAGACACGGCAGAGAGAGACAGAGACACGGCAGAGAGAGACAGAGACACGGCAGAGAGAGAGACAGAGACACGGCAGAGAGACGGAGACACGGCAGAGAGAGAGAGAGACACAGCAGAGAGACGGAGACAGAGACACGGCAGAGAGAGACAGATACACGGCAGAGAGAGACAGAGACACGGCAGAGAGAGAGACAGAGACACGGCAGAGAGAGATAGAGACACGGCAGAGAGAGAGACAGAGACACGGCAGAGAGAGATAGAGACACGGCAGAGAGACAGTGACAGAGACACAGCAGTGAGACAGAGACACAGACGCGGCAGAGAGAGACCCAGACATGGCAGAGAGACAGAGAGAGAGAGACACGGCAGAGAGACAGAGACACGACAGAGAGACAGAGACACGGCAGAGAGAGACAGAGACACGGCAGAGAGACAGAGACACGGCAGAGAGAGATAGACAGGTACACGGCAGAGAGAGATAGAGACACGGCAGAGAGACAGAGACACGGCAGAGAGACAGAGACACGCAGAGAGACGGAGACAGAGACACGGCAGAGAGACGAAGAGACACGGCAGAGAGACAGAGACAGACACGGCAGAGAGACATAGACAGCAGAGAGACGGAGAAACGGCAGAGAGAGACAGAGACACGGCAGAGAGACAGAGACACGGCAGAGAGAGAAAGAGACAGAGACACGGCAGAGAGACAGAGACACGGCAGAGAGAGACAGAGACACAGCAGAGAGACGGAGACACGGCAGAGAGAGAGACAGAGACACGGCAGAGAGACAGAGACACGGCAGAGAGACAGAGACGCGGCAGAGAGAGACAGAGAAAGAGACAGAGGCTGATCTTACATGAGCTGTTAAAACGTTAGTGGAGCGCTTTCATGTAAATTAATGATGAAGTGTCAATGAATAATAAGGAATAAAATACAAACGAGCCAGCACGCGAGACCACGAGACCACAGAGTGTCTCGTCCTGCCCACATCATTGAGCCGGTGCTGGACATTCCACATTGCTATGACGCAGACCGGGCAATCCAGAGGGTAACCACTTGATGACTTTTCTTCAAAAGTTGTACTTACTTTACCTACCTCCGAGGGTTGATGGGGATTTTAACTCCGCACCCGTCAGAGTTGCGAATTTCTTGCTCTCACTACCCCGCAAGAACACAGAATACCAGCCCTATTCTAGTTTTAAAGTTCTTTATTAAGGTCGCAAAAACGTTTAATTAAACTCAATTAAATTAATTGATATGGTAACCGTACTAATTTCTCAGTTGAATATCTAAATAAAAATAATAGTAACTATAAATTATGTTATTTGGCACGATACTAACAATAGGAGTTGCTGTCAAATATTTGACTTTGATCGCTGTGCATTGCCAGGTCCAATTGAACCTGACCAAATCCTTCCTGAGATCGACTCAGCCTACACCGAACACTCGGTGGGATATTTGAGCATCGGCACTTTAGAGACAAAGGCGGCAGAGCGTGGGTGATGCCCTGCAGCTGCAACGCAGAGGCGTGCTCACCGCAGTTGCCCCAACAATCCGTACGGGCACTCCCGTGGACATGTCTTTGCTGCAAACACAATGACAAGCACAACAATTGTGACTAACGCGTGCCTTCTATTTTCTTCAAATATCATCATCACGATCCATGAGCAGGTAGCTCGTAGTCGGTGTCCCCTGCACATTTCGTCAATGCGCTGTTTCCACTTTCCTCTGCCTTGTGCCAACATGTTCGAGGAGGGCCTCATCTTTCTGGCACCGACCTCTTGTGATGTCGTCGCAGAGCCATTCTCTGTTCGGTCGTCCTCTCTTCAAATATATCAACGTATAATTACGTAGCCTCCCCTTAACAAGAAGCCAGCCTATGACGCCTGTTATGCATGCCGGTCGCCTACCCAAGCGCTGTCCAGGCTGATACCTGCCGAGCTTGCAAGATGGAGAGGGGCTCATTCCCGGCGACTCGATCCCTGCTCACGACGGCGCTGGCGTCACCGCGGGCTCATGAATCATTTCACCCGCGGGTCGTCTGACGGCGTCGAGCTCAACGATCCGCGCCTCGCCTAATTCGTGTCACGTCTCTCACCCACGGACGCGCCTCTCGCAGGCCCCGACGTTTACTTTACCGTAATTAACAAGACAACTCTCCACGCTCATCACCAAACAATGAGTGTAGCCGGTACCGTAATTACAACAATCCGCGTGGACGGGCTGTGGACGTAAGCACAGACAGCCTCCACGCGCCACGTGTCTCGTGCACGCACGCTATGGATCTGCTACCGGACGCGACAACAGCTGACAGACGCGTGCGTGGCCCTGTCGCCTCGGCTGAAGAAGGCGGCGGTGCTGAGTGAAGTCAGCGGGCGAAACGTGTTGGGTTCATACAGTTTTAAGCTGGAATTTTCTTCTTCTGAATATCCCGAAGAAATCCCATAATCATCCATGCTGGCTTCAGTACCTCTTCATCCAGCAGTGGAGTTATTGATCTTGGCTGCTGCTCACGAAATACTCTGATCGTACATACATAACTACAGATATGTTCTGTTTGAGAGGAGGACTGATGGCTCTTTGGGACATTCTGTTTACAGGAAGTCCACCCACACAGATTCATACTTGAAGCATGATTCCCACCACCACCCGGCTCAAAAGAATTCTCTCATCAAAACATTATAGCATAGGACTTATTGCATGTCTGACCAACACCACCTGGCCAGTGAATTAAAACATGTACATCTGGCCCTCAAGATGAACGGATACTCTGACCGTACTATCCGCCAAGCTGTTTCTCCCACCATACAGAAACAACCACCTGATACTCCGATCAAAACCATCACACTGCCATACATAGCAGGCGTTACCAAAAAGATTTCCAAAATTCTAAACAAACACAAGATCCAGGTTCGGTTCAATACAGTACACAAAATCCGTGATCTGATCCCATCCGTAAAGGATGCCATCCCTGACTTACAGTACCCCGGTGTTTACAAATTGAGTTATACCTGTGGTGACTGCTATATCGGGGAGACGAAACGCCATATTTCTGACCGAATTCGCGAGCACAAATCAGATTTTAAACACGGCATAACGAATTCTTCGGCCGTGGCTGATCATTGTTTCAACACAGTGGGTTCTCATGACATTGTTTTCTTCGATACCAAATTACTATGCAAACCTCCCGGTTATTACCAAATATTTGTCCATGAAGCCATCCAGATATACAAACTTAGACACAACTTGAACCGAGCGAATGGTTTTAAATTGAGCAACTTTTGGAAAGATGTCATCAACCAAGTCAAACTTTAGCTGGCGTATAATTATACAGCCATCTCCGTTTCTACCAGGATTGTACTCGCTCTCGTGCAGCACGTCATCACCCTCCCCCCGAACCCCCTGCAGCATAACAAAAGGTGGTTTTACGTGCAAGTACACCACCGCCTCCCCCAGAACCCCCTGCAGAATAACGAAAGGCGGCTTAACTTAGCCCCCCCCCTCCCCACCCACGTCCCTTCCTGGCTCCTCCCCCCCCCCCTTAACCTGTATATAATCTCGTGTGTCCCAGAGCTGTTCACTTGATACAGCTAATTTTGCTGTGTCTGTTCCACCTGAAGACGGAAGCTTGTGTTGCCTCCGAAACGTCGTGATTTAATCTGGTTGTTTTCATTTATTTTATTTTACCTACGTGACTTTACCGAAAAAACCAAAGAGTATGAATCTTTGCAGTCACGAAAGCTTCAAATCTAGAATCCTTTGTATACTCTTTGGTTATTTCGTAAAGTCACGTAGATATAAAATAAAATAAATCACGACATTTCGGGCGCAACACAAGCGTCCGTCATCAGCTTCACTTTGTATGTTTGGATTCCTGAAGAAGGCCACTCAACCGAAACGTCATCTCTAGCACTGGATCTCATCCCCTGCCCGGCTCTGCGCGTGTTCGCAGTGTTTGGAGAGTGGTGATGTCGTGGTAAGCGCTCTGCGCTACGAATCCGGCCACCCAAGTTTTGATTCCCGCTCACGGCCAACACCAGTAACGATTATTTTAACCGGCCCTGGGTCTTCCCTAGGTCGACTCAGAATAAAATGAGTAAAGCACTTGGGGGAATGTGTAAACATCCCCACTCTGGAGACAAAAGGCGACCGGGCGTAGTGCTGGCCACCCACCCCCTCGTGTCCCATGCCAGCCTTCATAGGTGCTCGCTAACAGCACTTACCCCAACAGTCTGTTAAGGCTATAGGGGGGGTCTTTGTCTTTGTGTCCGCAGACCTGGCCCTTCGCTGCAGGACTCAAGGGCGAGGCCGAGTACCACGAGGTTGGGAGCGGCGCGCTGCTCTGCAAGCTCACGTCCGCCACGTGACGGGGACTCCAACACTCACACACACACTCACGGACCTCTCCCGCAGAGACGGGGACTTAACGCTCCCACCGGGACACCATGCAGCAGTGGATTGATCATGGCCGATTACGATGATGATGATGATGACTGGCACAACCCAGGACTCTCGGTGAAGATCGCGACAACTCAGAAATACGAAGATGGTGGCGTAGACATTGAGTGTGCAGGCGGTGCAACGGCACCACGGCTCAGGAGTCGGGCTCTGTTGGCTGGGGGGAGAGTTGGACTGGGTCCCATGTAACGCCTTGCGCCAGGGCCGGTACAGACCGCGCTACGCCACTGACTGCAGGGTTGACTCCAGCGATGCACGTAAGGGTCAGGAGGTCACTGTGATTGCCCATTTTCTACTCCTTCGGGGTGTGATCTGAGACGGGCAGTGGGCAGCCACGTGGTGGAAATGCCGCGTTCTCTCAGAATGCGTGCCGCTAATTGTGGGAGGTCAGCATTAGTGGACACGTGGGAGCGAACTTTGAGAGCTAAGGGAGCTGACAACCAAGATCCTCTTCAGCCCAGAGCCTCTGTCACGGAGCTATTGAGCGAGTCTAGCGCTGAGATGAGTTATCCATCCCGACTCACCACGATTCATACACCGACTCATATACTCACCAATTTCGACTCACCCACCCTCACGCATTTCTGCACCCCTTGCCAGGCCCATCCACCCCAACCATGCATCCAGCCCGACGAATGAAACCACCACCCAATCACGCACCACCCAATCTTTCACTCAACTCAACTCTCCCATCACTCATCCACCCCAGCTCGCCGCACCTCGACTCACCCCCCCCCCCCCCACCATCGCACATTCGCCGTGGCCTCGCCCTTATTTGGTTGAAACTTCCACGACCGACTGACGAGCCGCTCCGAGGTTCACAGCGAGCCGCCAGCTCGCGGCTTCGTCTCGGCTCGGTGCGCTGCTCTCGTCGCCTCTTGGTGGCGGAGCTCCTCGCTGGAACTTCACCTCGCCGGGAGCCCCAGGGAGCCCCAGGGAGCCCCACTCGCAGCAGATGCCGGTCGGGGGGCTCGGGGTCGCTACCCCCTCCATCGATCGGCGAGACTCGGTGGGGGCCAAGTCCGCAGGAGACCTCACCACCACCACCGAGAGTTGCGACGCTGGGGAGGTGCTCATTGCTCCGAGTGCGCGCGATGCACGGCCACTGCGCCGCACTTCGCCACGCCGCACTTCGTTGCCGGGGTTGGTGGAAGCGTGGGGCCCAGACGTGGGAGCGCAGCAGTCGAGACGAACGGGTTGCGTGGCACAGCGCTCCTCTGCCGACAGCGCAGCCTCCGACAGCCGCCACCACGCACGGCCCTCGACCCCACGAGCGCTATCCAGGCTCGGCGCTGATCCGCTTCAGAAACCACGCAACGTGGTGGTGGAACGCGACATTCCGATTCTACGCCAGTTGCGCGCGTAATGATTCACTCCGTGCTGCCCCAGCAATTCTCTTGTCACGATTCGGGTCCATGATTTGATTCAAACATCGATTATCTTTCTCGTCTCGTTCATAGCCCCTCGTTTGTATCGTTGTTCACGGTCGTGTTCGCTTCATAACCCGGACGTGAACGATCGCTACCACAGAATGTTCATGCGTCGGAAGTGGTGGATGAGCACGCGCGAGCGTAATAAGCTATTCTCATCGATAAATCGATGCTTTACAGATCTGGGAGTTTAAATCGGAAGTGTTGCCATACGTGGACAATGATCAAAAATATATCGTTATAGTGATCAATTTGCAACGTTTATACTAAGAGAACTTCGTCCAACAGTGTATTGACCATGGCTGTCGACGTCTTCCATCAACCTCAATACACTCATTACATCTTCAAACACCCTCTCTGAGACATGGAGTAATTACACAAATAACAATCAGCGGTTAAGAGAGCGGATCATCAACTATACATCAGGCAGCGGGGTGTCTATAAATGTATCACCTCCTATCAGTCGATTCCTTCACGTCTCGCCTGTGGACCCGCCCAGTGAACCGCGCCACTGATCAGAAGCTTGCTCCAGAAAGTCCACGGGGCCCAGAAGGAGACGTCATTGACCAAACGGTGGCGAAACTTCACGTGCATTGTTAACACGAGTGGACTGTTCGATAAGCCGTGCATGCCAAATAGTACCCTCGCCTAAGACGCAGCTGCCATCGTCCACAGAGTCGTTGGAATCGAGCGACATTCCCGCTCTGGGCTCACGTCCATGGGGGCTGGGGGGGGGCTCACGTCCATGGGGGGGGGGCTCACGTCCATGGGGGCTGGGGGGGGTTCACGTCCATGGGGGGGGGGGGCTGGGGGAGGTATTTCCCGGTCGCTTACACGGCGACTGAGTGAAACGCTAAATATTTCCATTGCGAGCAGTCGCGATGTATAAACTCTGTAAATATTTATGCATCTCGTTTGTCACAGCACTTTACAGGTTTTAAACAGTGTTTATCCTCGTGTTCCGTGACACAGTAAACACGTGTAACCACGAACACGTGCCCGCTCTGAACGCCGAGTCACCCACCACGTGACTCGGACGATGGGCAGAGTCCCTCGCGTGGCGATGGGGACGCACAGCGCAGCCCACGCCGAGAGACTCCCACTTGGTGTGGAGGGTGTGCGGTGGTGGTGGGTTTTCTGGTTTGGAGCTATTGTGTGTGTATCTCTGCATGTGTGTGTATCTCTGAATGTGTGTGTATCTCTGAATGTGTGTATCTCTGAATGTGTGTGTATCTCTGAATGTGTGTGTATCTCTGAATGTGTATCTCTGAATGTGTGTGTATCTCTGCATGTGTGTGTATCTCTGCATGTGTGTGTATCTCTAAATGTGTGTGTGTCTCTGCATGTGTGTATTTCTGCATGTGTGTGTATCTCTGAATATGTGTGTATCTCTGAATGTGTGTGTATCTCTAAATGTGTGTGTGTATCTCTGAATGTGTGTGTGTATCTCTGAATGTGTGTGTGTATCTCTGAATGTGTGTGTGTATCTCTGAATGTGTGTGTGTATCTCTGAATGTGTGTGTGTATCTCTGAATGTGTGTGTGTGTATCTCTGAATGTGTGTGTGTATCTCTGCATGTGTGTGTATCTCTGAATGTGTGTGTATCTCTGAATGTGTGTGTATCTCTAAATGTGTGTGTGTATCTCTGAATGTGTGTGTGTCTCTGCATGTGTGTGTATCTCTGCATGTGCTTGGGTCTCTGCATGTGTGTGTATCTCTGAATGTGTGTGTGTATCTCTGCATGTGTGTATCTCTGAATGTGTGTGTGTGTATCTCTGAATGTGTGTGTGTATCTCTGCATGTGTGTGTGTGAATCTCTGAATGTGTGTGTGTATCTCTGAATTTGTGTGTATCTCTGCATGTGTGTGTGTATCTCTGAATGTGTGTGTATCTCTGAATGTGTGTGTATCTCTGAATGTGTGTGTGTATCTCTGAATGTGTGTGTGTATCTCTGCATGTGTGTGTGTATCTCTGCATGTGTGTGTCTTTGCATGTGTGTGTATCTCTGAATGTGTGTGTGTATCTCTGAATGTATGTGTGTATCTCTGAATGTGTGTGTGTATCTCTGCATGTGTGTGTGTATCTCTGCATGTGTGTGTGTCTCTGCATGTGTGTGTGTCTCTGCATGTGTGTGTGTCTCTGCGTGTGTGTGTGAGGTGCCCGCCTTCAGAGGTGCTTCCCGACAGGTTTTGCCCCAGCAGCCCTTGAAGGCTATATGGGGGATATTTGTCATTTTTCGATTTAAAGCTTTCGTGACTGCAATGGTTCATCTTCTTTGGTTCTTTCGGTAAAATTATTGTGTTATTTTATTTTATCAATTTATTATTTTTATTCTCATTCTACGTGACTTTACCGAAAGAACCAAAGAAGATATTTTTCATTGTATACTGTGTGTTGAGGTGTGTATTTGTATACGAGTGTGGCTGTTCATGTGGGTGCATGTGTGTAGTGTCTACGTGTGGGGAGCGGTAGTGTAGCGGTTAGCGCGCTGCGCTATGAACCTAGCGACCCAGGTTCGATTCCCGCTCACGACCACCACCAGTGACGAGCCGGTCCTGAGCCTCCCCTAGGTCGACTCAGCCTCAAATGAGTACCTGGTGCGATGTGCATATACACACGCACACACAGCGTGCACACACAGCGTGCACACACAGCGTGCACACACAGCGTGCACACACAGCGTGCACACACAGCGTGCACACACACACGCACACACACAGCGTGCACACACACGCACACACACAGCGTGCACACACAGCGTGCACACACAGCGTGCACACACACAGCGTGCACACACAGCGTGCACACACAGCGTGCACACACAGCGTGCACACACACAGCGTGCACACACACAGCGTGCACACACACAGCGTGCACACACACAGCGTGCACACACAGCGTGCACACACACAGCGTGCACACACAGCGTGCACACACACAGCGTGCACACACACAGCGTGCACACACACAGCGTGCACACACACAGCGTGCACACACAGCGTGCACACACAGCGTGCACACACACAGCGTGCACACACACAGCGTTGCACACACACAGCGTGCACACACACAGCGTGCACACACACCGCGTGCACACACACACAGCGTGCACACACACAGCGTGCACACACACAGCGTGCACACACACAGCGTGCACACACACAGCGTGCACACACACAGCGTGCACACACACAGCGTGCACACACACAGCGTGCACACACACACAGCGTGCACACACACAGCGTGCACACACACAGCGTGCACACACACAGCGTGCACACACACAGCGTGCACACACACAGCGTGCACACACACAGCGTGCACACACACAGCGTGCACACACACAGCGTGCACACACACAGCGTGCACACACACAGCGTGCACACACACAGCGTGCACACACACAGCGTGCACACACACAGCGTGCACACACACAGCGTGCACACACACAGCGTGCACACACACAGCGTGCACACACACAGCGTGCACACACACAGCGTGCACACACACAGCGTGCACACACACAGCGTGCACACACACAGCGTGCACACACACAGCGTGCACACACACAGCGTGCACACACACAGCGTGCACACACACAGCGTGCACACACACAAGCGTGCACACACACAGCGTGCACACACACAGCGTGCACACACACAGCGTGCACACACACAGCGTGCACACACACAGCGTGCACACACACAGCGTGCACACACACAGCGTGCACACACACAGCGTGCACACACACAGCGTGCACACACACAGCGTGCACACACACAGCGTGCACACACACAGCGTGCACACACACAGCGTGCACACACACAGCGTGCACACACACAGCGTGCACACACACAGCGTGCACACACACAGCGTGCACACACACAGCGTGCACACACACAGCGTGCACACACACAGCGTGCACACACACAGCGTGCACACACACAGCGTGCACACACACAGCGTGCACACACACAGCGTGCACACACACAGCGTGCACACACACAGCGTGCACACACACAGCGTGCACACACACAGCGTGCACACACACAGCGTGCACACACACAGCGTGCACACACACAGCGTGCACACACACAGCGTGCACACACACAGCGTGCACACACACAGCGTGCACACACACAGCGTGCACACACACAGCGTGCACACACACAGCGTGCACACACACAGCGTGCACACACACAGCGTGCACACACACAGCGTGCACACACACAGCGTGCACACACACAGCGTGCACACACACAGCGTGCACACACACAGCGTGCACACACACAGCGTGCACACACACAGCGTGCACACACACAGCGTGCACACACACAGCGTGCACACACACAGCGTGCACACACACAGCGTGCACACACACAGCGTGCACACACACAGCGTGCACACACACAGCGTGCACACACACAGCGTGCACACACACAGCGTGCACACACACAGCGTGCACACACACAGCGTGCACACACACAGCGTGCACACACACAGCGTGCACACACACAGCGTGCACACACACAGCGTGCACACACACAGCGTGCACACACACAGCGTGCACACACACAGCGTGCACACACACAGCGTGCACACACACAGCGTGCACACACACAGCGTGCACACACACAGCGTGCACACACACAGCGTGCACACACACAGCGTGCACACACACAGCGTGCACACACACAGCGTGCACACACACAGCGTGCACACACACAGCGTGCACACACACAGCGTGCACACACACAGCGTGCACACACACAGCGTGCACACACACAGCGTGCACACACACAGCGTGCACACACACAGCGTGCACACACACAGCGTGCACACACACAGCGTGCACACACACAGCGTGCACACACACAGCGTGCACACACACAGCGTGCACACACACAGCGTGCACACACACAGCGTGCACACACACAGCGTGCACACACACACGCACACACACAGCGTGCACACACACGCACACACACAGCGTGCACACACACGCACACACACAGCGTGCACACACACGCACACACACAGCGTGCACACACAGCGTGCACACACACAGCGTGCACACACACAGCGTGCACACACAGCGTGCACACACAGCGTGCGCACACACGCACACAGCGTGCACGCACACACACACACAGCGTGCACACGCACACACACAGCGTGCACACACACACACAGCGTGCGTGCACACACACACACAGCGTGCACAGGGGACGACAGATTTACGGGTGCCACGCGCGCCCTCTCCTCCGGCCCGGGCGTGTGCCCATAGATGGGGGCGGCAGAGGCGAGTCCACCGTGGCCCGCGTGTTTACCGCAGCAGGGCGCTGTTTACTTCAGCCCCGTCACTTCACACGGAGCCACCCAGGAGGGTTGGTGGGTCACACAGAGATTTGTGAGGCTCCCAATTCCGCTCGCTGGGCTTCTTCGAGGTGGGTGGCGGATCGACGGCGAGGGGGACCGTGAGCCCACCCTGTCTGCGCTTGTTGACTTCCCTCCGTCAACATCACAATGCAGGACCCTCTTGAAAAGGGGTCTTGAGACTCGGTGCAGTTTTCACATTCATAAAGCAGGTGCCAATGTATCCGACCGTTGACTTCCTACAGTCATCATTTTCACAAATGCAACCTTAAATCCGGAACGCTCGCTTCGAAACAACGTGCGCACAGACCGTTGCCAATCAACTTCTGTATTGGTCG